GGTTCTATCTCCTTCTCCCTTCAACTCTGAAATAATATATATGTAGTTGTTTTTTAAAGCAGCTAGAGAAAACCAGTTAGTTACCTATAAGAGAGCACCCATACTACTGCCACCTGATTTCTCAACAAAAATTTTGCAGGCCAGAAGGAAGTGGCAAGAAATACTTGAAGTAATGAAAAACAAGGACATATGACCAAGATTACTCTACCCAGCAAAGCTATCATGAAGAAGAAGAAGAAGAAGAAGAAGAGGAAGAAGAAGAAGAAGAAGAAGAAGAAGAAGAAGAAGAAGAAGAAGAAGAAGAAGAAGAAGAAGAAGAAGAAGAAGAAGAAGGAGAAGAAGGAGGAGGAGAAGGAGAAGAATAAGAAGAATTAGAATAAGAAGAATTAGAAGAAGAAGAAGAAGAAAAAGAAGAAGAAGAAGAAGAAGAAGAAGAAGAAGAAGAAGAAGAAGAAGAAGAAGAAGAAGAAGAAGAAGAAGAAGAAGAAGAAGAAGAATTAGAAGAAGGAGGAGGAGGAGAATAATGAACTGGCAATAAATGCATATCTATCAACAATTGAATCTAAAAATCAAAATAAACAAACAAGAAATCGAATGAACAAAATGAACTGATGAATAAAATTGAACCAGATGGCACGCAAATATGGAACAGACCGACAAACCTCAGAGGCAAGGGGAGAGGAAGAGGTCAGGAAGAGATTAACCAAATAATTATATGCATACTAGAGGCCCAATGCATGAAGTCATGCAAGAGTAGGGCTTCATTCCCCTGGCTGCCAGCACTGGCTTCCCTCCAGCTGCCGGCACCCCGGACCTGGGCTTCCCTAACAACCCTGGCTTCATCCGGAAGGTCGTCTGGTCTAGTTAGCATATTATGCTTTTATTATATGCATACTAGTAGCCCAGTGCACAAAATTCATGCACATTAAAAGGGAATTAATTAGCAGAGATATTTTAATATTGCTATTTGCCCTTTCTCTATTATAGAAGTGTGAGAGATGGAAGGAAATTAGTAAAATGTACATGAAAATAATACATATATTTATTAATAAATAAACAGTAACAAAAGGATATAACAACAACAGAGGCATGATATAAAAATGACAAAAACATGATATGAAAACAACAAAAACATGATATGAAAACAACAGTGATGCAAACAATGACTGATAAAGTGATTAAACTTATTCTAATATCTCCCTGTACACCACATTAAGAGTGAAAACACTTTCAGAGTGCTTGACTAATTTCCCTTGTGATGAAGTATTTAGAATTTTAACTGTAACATCACATGCTCTTCAAACTCGAGAGAAAGCAATATATAACTTACCATGTACGAAAACGGGTTCAGGTAGGAATATGCCTACTCTGTCTAGCATTTGTCCTTGTGATTTATTAATAGTCATCACAAATGCTGGCATCACGAGAAACCGTCATCGAATCAATTTAAATGGGAGGCCAGTGTCAGATGGGGACAAATTAATTCTTGGAATCAGAACAAACTCTCCCTCAGCAGATCCTGTTAATACTTCAGCTTCAATAATGTTAGGTCATAATCTTTTGATAATAAATCTGGTACCACTACAAAGACCCCATTTACTATTGAGATTTCTCAATAGCATGATGATTGCACCCACTTTCAATTTTAATTTATGACACGGAATTCCCAAAGGAATGCTATTAAGAAATTATTACTATTAATACTATTAAGAAATTCTATGGGAAATTTTTCCTTTTCAGCATCATCTCTGGAATCAATGGAATCATTACTCAAATATGTGTGAAAATCTCCATCGAGCCGAACCGGTTTGGCTCAGTGGCTAGAGCGTTGGCGTGCGGATTGAAGGGTCCCGGGTTCGATTCCAGTCAGGGGCATGTACCTTGGTTGCGGGCACATCCCCAGTGGGGGGCGTGCAGGAGGCAGCTGATCGATGTTTCTCTCTCATCGATGTTTCTAACTCTCTATCCCTCTCCCTTCTTCTCTGTAAAAAAAAAATCAATAAAATATATTTAAAAAAAAAAAAAAGAAAGAAAATCTCCATCGAGTATATCCAAAATTTCTTCATTTAATTTTTGAACATGCTCGTTTTTTGGACAAAGAATTGCACGTTTAGATATATTTTTAATATTATCTATAGATATCGTATTTCCAAAGGTAGCGTCAATAATAGATCCATTACAAATCATTTCACAGGGGATTTCAATAATATCCATTCCTAAATGAAAACTGCTATCAAGTTTGCCATCTCCAAGTTTTACTAACCATCCACTATAAGCAGAATCCTTTGATCTCATATTTGTTGTAAGAGACAACTTTCTGAAACATCCCCAAACATTACAGTACTTTAAACTCTTTGTACTATGGCCAATCACATAGCATGCAGTACAATACTGAGACATTGTCGAAAGTCCCCTCCAAGGAGAACTTTCCCACCAAATACAACATTCAGACTCATAATTTCTCATAGTAATCCGTCTATGGCGTTTATAGCATGACTAGATGCCATGGTACATTCATCAGTAATGAGAAGTTGGGCCTTTTTAATAGTTTTAGCAACTTCACTCTTTATATTGAGTCTAGAAATTGAAGTTTTGTTTAATGGAATCGGTAATTTATATTGGGAATGAAAGGTGCTTCCACCGAGAAGTAAATTTGCAGCAATTCCTGTAGACGCTGTGGGTAAAACAGTACCACCACGACCTCTAATATAATGTATTAAAACTTTATACAGATATGCAGGTGAATAGGATTCCTAGCTGGCAGGCCCCTAACAGCAAGCTGGCCACCTGTCAATTCCATGAGGAATGGGGCTCCCTCCTCCCTCCTGTCAGGGTCTGGGGTGCAGGTGAATGGGGTTCCTGGCTGGCAGGCCACTGACAGCAAGCTATCCAACAGCGGATTCTGTGAGGAATGGGACTGCCTCCTCCCTACTGTCAGGATCTGGTTTGAAGGCCGGCCATGCCCCCTGTTGGGCCAGACCCAGAGTTCTACCATGCTGTGGCCTCTGCCTCAGCAACCCAGGACTGACTGCTGCTGGGCGCTCCTGGGGCTCCGAGGGTGGGTTCTTCCCTCAGGCCTTGAGGGAAACAGCTCAGGGAGGGCGCAGCCTTTGGCAAGGCAACCCAGGACTCAGTACTTCCATGCTCTGCTCTGAGGGCGGGTTCCTGCCTGAAACCTCGCCCTCCAAGAAACAGCTGGGGGAGGGCACAGCCGTTTCCAAGACGACCCCTGCAGGACTGACTTCCTTCCAGTTGGTTGAGCTTCGGGATGTGATGTTACACCCAGGGTTTTTATATAAGTAGATATGCATTACCTATGGACCCAAACAATAGGGTGGTGAAGACCTGGGGCGGGGCAGGAACCAGATGGAGGGGGCAATGGGGGTGAAAAAGGGGGACATCTGTAATACTCTCAACAATAAAGATGTTTTTTAAATGGTTTCTGGGTTCTGGCTGATGTTCTTAAATGGTTAGAGCATTGGCCCACGGCTCAAAGGTTCTCAGGTTTGATTTCCAGTCATGCAGGAGGCAATCAATCTATGTGTCTCCCTCACATTGCTGTTTCTCTCTCTACTTTCAACCCTCCCTCCTTCCGTCTTACTCTCTCTCTAAAAATCAATGGAAAAAATATCCTCAGATGGGGATTAACAACAACAATAAAAAAGGTTTCTGGGGCTAAATAATGTATAATTTTGAAAATTATAAATGATTCTCTGTTTATCTTGCCTTTTTAGCTTAAGCTGGGTTTCTTTTATAAATCTTCTAAGCACATTAGTGTACCATCAAGTTTATAACACCGGAAATAGAAATTTAGAAGTCAACAGTATATAGTTGAAGCCATGGAACATCAATCAATAAAATTGTCCAGCAATAATCTGTATGAGTGTAGCATGAGAAGAGAAATAGGCCAAGGAGTAGGCAGAAGAGACGCCTGGAAAGAAGTTGACAGGTACGTTGGGGAACACAACTTCCATAATGTTACAGAAGCAAAGGGTGTCAAATGCTACAGAGATGTTTCATGTGATGAGGGGAAAAAAGAATCACCAAACTTGGCCATAGGAGGTCAGCGGCATTTTTAGCAGAGTGGGGAGGGCAGATGCCAGATTGAAATGGTTTGAAGACTGAACAGGAGATGAAGTGGAGTCCGTATGCTTTTGTGGTGAAGCACGATATCTGTAATTTCCAATCTGTTGTGGACTAACAACAGCCCCGCTGTGTGACTAGTATGCCACTTGTGGCAGAGGCAAGGTTCCCTGAGATTTGTATGACAACCAAGCTGGTATACTGTTCAACAAGACAAGTCTGCTGATGACAGGCTTGAATGCTGTGGCCATGTCAAATTGCCATAAGAGGTTCTAAATGCTTATTCTTAATTCTATTCAGTGGCAGAGGTATAGACTATTTTTTTCAAGAAGCTTATTTGTCAAGGAAGAGAGAATAGCCAATACTCTAAGGGGCATAATAGGGTTGAGAGAAAGTTTCTACCAATATTATTTCTTGCAACTTTTCCCTCTGACTATCTCCTAATGTTCTTCATGCTTCACATTCTTTTCAGCCCTTAACTTGGATCTCCCCCATCTAAATAGTTCCTGATGCATAGAAAGCATTTAAATTAAATAGTTGTTGAACAAATTAATGAAATTTCATGTGCACTGTGGAGGATTTAAGAGGTCCTGTGTTTCCAGATTTTACAGTAGGATATCCTGCTCATTTAATCGCTAGATATTTATTTTACTGGTAGTCAGGGAATTATCAGGGAGGCCCATAACCTTCCCAGTCTTTGAGTGCATTAAAGTTCTGCTCTGTGTGTTCAAAGCTGAAATCACTTACTTTTACTTAGTAGGACCTGTGCTTTGAGTTTCATTTGTTTGTTTGTTTTCTCAAAATTGGTAGTGAATTTGCCTCTTGCCTTGCCTTCCCTTTCCTCTTCAAGGGCATACATTAACAAAACACTAAGCAGGTTTGGGACTATAATATGGCCACAGGATAAAGAGAACTGAATTGACACCTGGCAGGGGACATAGCATGATCGCCAAGGTGGTTTTCCCAGGGTGAGGCTTATCCATTGCACTCTGATATGTTGACCCCTGTGAATTCCCCAAATGTGGGAAACTTGACTGCATAATTTGTGGTGTGGAGGACTGCGTACACACTCTCCCCTACAAGAAAAAAGGGAGAGAACTGATTGACCTGCACAGAGCTCAAGCCCTAAAATAATAGTTTAGTGTAAAAGAACTCTGGTTTTTTTTGTAAACCTCTTTACTTTCCTCTTTTTCTAGTTGGACTATTTTCAAACATTCCTCTTACTTTCTTATCTACAGCATTGCCCCTAGCCCACACAGTGGAACTCAAATCTGTACCTACAAAAATGAGAATTCTAATATAAAATGTGGACATTATGAATAGGAGCCAAAGAAAAGCAGACACTTTCAGTCACTCGTACAACAGACATTTACTGAATGCTTAGTATGTGCCAGACACAGCCCTGCGTGCCGGGCATGTAATTTCCCTCTGGTCCAGTTGGGTGTGGCAGGCTAGACTTCTATATTTAAGAATTCAACCAGACTTGTTTCCCACGGCAGTTGGAAGGCTTTTCACATGTAGATGGCTTATATAGCTCCAGACATCCTATACTAGATTGTTAAACTTAGGCAGGCATTATTTAACAGGTTTAAGGAAAATCCTAGCTGAGTATGTGTGTATGGTTTGGGGAGTGGAGTACATAAAGGAGAATAAATGGGAACTTTCAGTACTTTGGAGGAATAAGAAGTAGTTGTTTATATACTAGTAGCTTAATCAATAGGGTTATTATGGCTTTTTGTTCAATTCTGGGATGAGAGGACCTTAACTCTTGAGTTGTAAGTCTTGTTTTTCATCTGGTCCTTAGCACAAAGAACACATCTGCGGGAAAAACTATTGGTACATTAGAGCCAATAACTGTTGAAGTGTGTGGCTTGCATGTATTTGTTCATTCATTCATTCAAAAACAATCTAGTGAATACATTCTGTGTTTAACACCCTTAACTGTGCTAAAGGGCATTGGCTGGTAATAGAAGAACAATATGTCAATAGCCATAACACAAGGTGGAAAGTGTTCAGTACTGTACTTATTTAAAACAGTGATTTTTCAACCGGTGTGCCACAAGAATTTTGAAAACGTGCAATACTTGACTATTTTGTCAGGGGCACTAACCTCTTTTCTTTTTTAAAATATGCTTTTATTGATTTCAGGGAGAGGGAAAGAGAGAGATAGAAACATCAATGATGAGAGAGAATCATCAATGGGCCACCACCTGCACACCCCCTACTGGAGATCAAGCCAAAAGGAGGGCATGTGCCCAGACCAAGAATCAAACAGTGACCTCCTGGTTCAAGGGTTGGCACTCAACCACTAAGCCATGCCAGCCAGGCTGACCTATTTTCTTTTAGGCTGTCAAGTTTTAAAAAATGACAGCCAACACAACAATAGCTGTTCAGTGTGAATGAATCAAAATTATACCTTTTTTCCTATCAGATTGGCAAATTTTTGGAGTGCCACAGAATTTTAGTAATTAATTTATGTATGCCATAGGATGAAAAAGGTTGAAAATCACTGACTTAGGTAATACATAATTCCATTAACCTGGCTGTAAAAACAGCCCATGGCCATTCAGAAATACCACATGAATAGAGGGAAAGTCTGCTTGTTTCTCACAAAGCCAAATGGTGATCTTATTGATTCCCTTTATGTCAGATGATCAAGCTAGAGAAGTTTGAGGAATTTCAAATAAATAATATCACTTTGGTATAAAAGGCTATGTAAAAATTATGTGTGTGTATGTTAGCGCATGAGTGTACTCGGACTTGCTTTCTCTGAGTTCCAGCACCAAGCTGCTCTTGGAGACCCAGACATATACCAGAAGAAACTGGACTGTCTGGCACCAGGGCAGAAACTCAGGGGTGGCTTTCTCCCAGGCAGAGGTGCTGGCAAGGGTCATTGTTCCTGTGCTGGGACCTCCCCTGTCTCAGGTCTGACTGGCAGTCATATCTGAGTCTCCATCAGCCTGGAGCACACTGTTTGCTCTGCCCTGGGGATTCCCTGAGAAACCTGCCCCATCCAATTTGCAGCCCAAGCTGTTTGCAGTGGCTTTTCCATATGAATGACCTGTCCTGGCTTAGGCATCAGACTTTGCTAAAATCTCTCAAACAACCTGCAACTGGTGACAGTGTGCTCCAAACCTATCAATAAAAGGCCCTAGACCCGGCACTAGCACCAGCCTGCCTTGCTTCACAGGTGGGTCTCGCCTCCTGCACAGCTGCTCTCCCACTGAAGTCCCAGCTGGTCATCACAGCCAATTGGCCTGGAGGGCAACTCCTCCCAGAGACACCAACAGCAGTCAAGACTCAACTACAAGACTGTGCACACAGTCCACACAAGGGCGCACCTAGAGTGCTCACTCAGGTAACTGGGGAGGCTGAGCCACTGGGCCCTACAGGATACCTAATACACAAGGCCACTCAACCAATTCCAGGAGACATAGTAGCTCTATCTAATACATAGAAAAAAACACAGGGAAGCAGCCAAAATGCGGAGACAAAGAAACATGTCAAAAGTGAAAGAAATGGACACAAGCAAACTACTATATACAGAGTTCAAAACAATGGTTATAAGGTTACTCAAAGAATCTTAATGAGAGCTTCAAGGGACTTAAGTGAGACTTTCAAGTATCTTAGTGAGAATGTCAAAGATATGAAAAAGGACCAGTCAGAAATTAAGCATACACTAACTGAAATAAATAACAATTTACAGGGATTCAACAATAGAGTAGAAGATTCCAAGAATCAAATCAACGATTTAGAATATAAGGAAGCAAAAAACATCCAACCAGAAAGCAAAAAGAAAAAACAATCCAAAAATATGAAGATAGTGTAAAGAGCCTCTGGGACAACTTCAAGTGTACCAACATTTCCATTATGGGGGTGCCAGAAAGGGAAGAGAGAAAGCAAGATATTGAAACCCTATTTGAAGAAATAATGACAGAAAACTTCCCCAACCTGTTGAAAGAAATAGGCTTACAAGTCCAGGAAGCACAGAGAACCCCAAACAAGATGAATCCAAAGTGGACCCCTCCAAGACACATCATAATTAAAATGCCAAAGGTTACAGACAAAGAGAGAATCTTAAGAGCAGCAAGAAAAAATTACCTACAAGGGAACACCCATACCACCATCACCTGATTTCTCATCAGAAACTATGCAGGCCAGAAAAGAGTGGCAAGAAATATTCAAAGTGATGAATAGCAAGAACATACAACCAAGATTACTCTACCCAGCAAAGCTCTCATTTAGAATTGAGGGTCAGATAAAGAACCTCACAAACAAACAAAAGCTAAAGGAGTTCATCACTACCAAACCAGTATTACATGAAATGTTGAAGGGTATTCTTTAAGAAGAGGAAGGGGGAAAAAAGAACAATAAAATGGCAATAAATACATATCTAACAACAATTGAATCTAAAAATCAAAATAAACAAACAAGGAATCTAATGAACAGAATAAACTGATGAATAAAACAGAATCAGAGGCATGGAAGCATAGAACAGATTGACACATCTCAGAGGGAAGTGGGTAGAGGGATGGGGGAGAGGGGAGTAGGAAGAGATTAACCAAAGATCTTACCTATGGACACAGACAGTAGGATAGTGAAGGCTTGGGGAGGGGCAGGAACTGGCTGAAGGGGAACAACGGGGGGGTTGTGGGGGAGAGACATCTATCATACTCTCATCAATAATTTTTTTTTAATTCAAACCGTCACAACTGTGTGTGTTTTTAAAGGTAGCAGGAACTTTAGCTCATATGCTATACAAATAAGCCTATTCTAAAGCAAAGTAAGAAATCTTATTTACTAATTCAGGACTTTTCACATCCTCACATTTTGTGTGGGGACATGAGGAAGAGGCTGTGAAAGACAACTGACTAAAGCTGAAGTTTTACCAAAAATGCCAACAGGAAGAGTAATGTGACATAGAGCAGGTGAGAAGTAGGGTCATGTGCTGCCAGGTCTGCTGCCTGAGTCCCACCGGGCCTGGCCCTGAGATTCTGAGTCCTGGCTATGCATCAGAGAGAGACCATTACTACACCTAACAGAATTAACAATTTCTTAATCTAATACCTGAACTATATTAAAATTTCCCCAGCTGCCTCCAAAATACCTTGTTACAGCTGGTGTGTTCAAACCATGGTCCAACAAAGTCCCCACATTGCATTTGGTTTTATTTTTATGAGCCTGTTGTAATCTAGAATAGTCTCCAAAACACCTGTAATTTATTTTGCTTTTGTTCATCCTCACCCGGGGACATTTTTTCATTGATTTTCAGGAGCGGGCCTGACACCGAGGTACGTGTCCTTGACCAGAATCAAACCAAGGACCCTTCAGTCTGTGGGCCGACACTCTACCAACTGAGCCAAACCAGCAAGGCAAACACACCTTTATTTTTAATGCTATTGAGTTGTTAAAGAAAGTCAGCGTTTTCAGTAGAATATCCCACTTTCTGTATTTGTTTGATGGTTTCCTTGTGATGTCATTACCCTGTTCCTCTATTCCCTGTAAACTGGCAGTTACGTCTAAAAGGTTGGTTAGACTCAGGTTAAACATGTTGGTAAGAATATTTCACAACTGATGCTGTGTCCTTCGTACTACATCACATTGGGCGCACATAATAGTACCTGGATGCCTGATAATGAGGCCAAGATTGATCCTACCATTACAGAGTTTTGCCTTCGCTATGACCAGTTAACTAATCATTGGAGTGATACTTTGATCCTTCTATTTATTGTCACCTTGTGCAGTAATCTTCCTAGTTCTGGAACATTAAAGGGAAAACAAAATAAAAAATTGTCTTTCTTTTTCCATTTTTAATCAGTAAATTGAAACAAGCGTGTTTTATGAGCACAATGGAGTGAAGTTAGAAATTAATAATAGAAAGAAAATTAGGAAATCCACTAAGACGTGGAAATTAAACAACTCCTAATTTTTTTCAATTAAATCAAGACTGTAAAAATTGGTTCTTTACAAAAGAAAAAAAAAGATTGTCGGCCGGTGGACCACAGGGTCTCGGGTTTGATTCCTGGCTAAGGGCAGGTACCTCCGTTGCAGGTTCAATCCTCCCCCCCTCCCCAGTCCC